GTCGGGCCGTGGGGCTGCGGGTGCTCAAGGCCTGGTGAATCCCAGGCAGACTGTGGTGGGAGCCGACTCGTAACGGCGGGGATCACGAGGTCAGGAACGATCGAGACCATGCTGGGCTAACAGCGGTGAAGAGGCCCGGCGTCGTCTACTAAAGACGAAATACAAAAAAATAGCCGGGGCCGGGGCGCGGGGGGTGCGTCAGAGGCCGGTAGGATCCCCGGAGACGCGTTGTTGGGGGAGCTCCCAAGCACGGGCGGCGGAGATGCACAGGCGGGGTCAGAGGAGTCGAGACCATCCTGGCGTTGACACGGTGAAAGCCCGTGTCTTCTACTAAAAGTACAAAAAGACTAGCCGGAGGCGAGAGGGGTGGCAGGCCGCCGTGTAGTCCCAGCTACTCCGGAGGCTGAGCCAGGAGAGAATGCGTAACCCGGGAGGCGGAGGCTTGCAGTGAGGCTGAGTCCAGGCCACCGCCACTCCAGCGCTGGGGTGTGGTGAGCAGAGCGGAGACTCCGTCTCAAAAAAAAAAAAAAAAAAGAATAACTAGGGCGGAGGGGGGGGGGGTGACGCGGGGCGAGCCTGTGGAGTCCCGTTACTCGAGGAGGCTGAGGCAGAGAAGTGGCGAGTTGAACCCGGGAGCGGGGCGCTTGCAGTGAGCCGAGATCCGAGCCACGTGCACTCCGCGGGGGGGGGGGGGGGGAGGGGAGAGCCTGGGGCGGACGAGCGAGAGTCCGTCTGCAGAAGAGAAAAAAAAAAAAAAAGAAACCGCATCATTCCCTGTGAAGGGATTCGGCTGCGGTTTCTAATTCCAGTTGTCTCGTGGGATGATACAGACCAGCATCATAGGACGCTCCGTTGTTGCCCTGAAGGGTGTGTGGGGAGGCTGAGGGTGCTGCTAGGGCTGCTCAGCAGGCTCTGAGACATGGGGGAGAGTGCCCACGGGGCTTTTAGTCAGGTCATCAGCGCGTGGGGCCAGCCTCAAGACGAATCAGGGATAGTTGATATTGACTTAGATGGTCAGCAGTGTGGCTAGGTGGTAGGAGGAGGACGAATGTTGCGGGGGGTCGGCTGGTGTGAGCAGCCGTGTGTGTCTGATCGCGGGTAGTAGCACAGTCACAGTTTGTCGATTAGACAGACAGGTTCCGCTGGCTGTGTTTACGTGTGATGAGGAACGGTAGGAGCGGGAGACAGGCCGAAGTGAGGGAGTACTAGAGCAGGTGTCTCTGTGAACTGGGTAACTGCACACAAGTTGCGAGACTTGTTTTGAGGTTTTCTGGGGGGGTGGAAAGGAGAGTAAAAGAGAGAGAGGGGATGGGGAGCCGGGGTGTGGGGGAGCTCGGTGCCGTGTAATTCCGCGAGCACTTTGGGGAGGGGGCGGGGGGGCCGAAAGATGAGTTTCTAACAAGCACTCAGTACTAATAACCAATGTGACTGAGTGCTTATGAGATACTGCACACTCTTCTAGGTGTTTTATATGGGCTGTCTCATTTAATCTTCATAAATCATAAGATAGGTACTATTTTCCCTATTTTGTGAATGATGAACCTGGAGCTTAGAGGTTAGAAATACTATCTTTAACAGGTTTTTAAAAAACGATTTCCCTGTTATCTTTGAAGATTCCTTTTCCACATTTAACTATAAGGCTTTCTGCTAATTCTTTGCCATAGCTATAAATTATTAGAGGGATGAAAGTAAAGCCCTTCCTTTAGGCTTATAAAATAATCAGTCTTCCTTCCTTCCTTTCCTTCCCTCTCTCCTCCTTCCCTCCCTCCCTCCCTATTTTTTGAGATGGGTCTCACTCTGTTGCCCAGGCTGGAGTGCAATGGCACAATCTCAGCTCACCTGCGCCTCCTGGGTTCAAGTGATTCCCATGCCTCAGCCTCCTGAGTAGCTGGGATTACAGGTGTGAAACCATCTCTCTACTAAAAATAAAAAACTAGCCTGGCTAATTTCTTTGTATTTTTAGTAGAGATGGGGTTTCACCATGTTGGCCAGGCTGGTCTCAAACTCCTGACCTCAGGTGATCCGCCCACCTCGGCCTCCCAAAGTGCTGGGATTACAGACATGAGCTACCACACCTGGCCTCTTTCTTTCTTTTGAATTAGAGATGGGGGTCTCACTATGTTGCCCAGGCAAGTCTCAAACACCTGGCCTCAAGAGATCCTCTTGCCTCAGTCTCCCAAAGTCCTGGGATTACTGACATAAAATCATTGGATAAACCGAGGTTACAAAGCTTTAAGTGGTAGTGAAGTCACCATGTCCATGTGACTTCAGATTAAAACAGTACTAAGGGGCACACTCTAGAGTTCCTGCTTCCTCCCAGGCCTTTCCCGTGTGAGACAGGCGGAGAGAGGCGGGAGTCTTCCCACCAGGGCTGAGGCTTCCAGGACTGGTCTGGGGAAGGGAATGTTGAACAATTATTTCTCACTGGGATTAGGAAAGGCCTTCGCCTACCTCTCGGAGAAGGAGTGGTCAGGAGGCTGGTCATTGTCACTAGTGGTTGAGTTCCTTGGAGAAGAGGCAGATCTGTAGGAAAAGGGGCAAAGACAGGAATGCAGCGGGTGAGCCCCTGGGGCTTCGAGTCTTGGAAGTCCCAGAAACGCCTCTGGTGCCAGGTTTTCCCAAGTCCCTTCCCCTTTTCCTCTTGCCCACTTCTGGTTTCCCTGAGTATCTTCTCAGGCTCCAAGTACCAACGGCTCTCCACAGGAGCAGTCTGAGGCCACGTGCACTTTACCGGGGTGTTACCTTCACACGCTCTCTCCCGATCCTTTCAATGGGCCACCAAATTTACCTCGGAGATCTCTCAAGGCCTGAGAAAGTCAGGCAAAGGTTCCCAAATCAGCAGCGGACCCAGTTTCGCCAAAGCGCGGTAACAGGTACCCTAGGGTTCCACAGCTCGGAGTTCTGGTGACGCCATCCACCAGGTGTCAGGAGAGGGCCGGGAAGGTCAGGACCCGCGCCTAGGCTCCGGAGCGGATTGGGCGCAGCGCGGCAGCCGGGCCGGGACCGGGAAGCGAGGGCCGTGGGCCGCCTTCTAGCCCGCCTGGGACGCAGGGACGCCAGGCTGGCTGCCCCGTCCGGGCCTGCCTTCGCCGTCTAGGGCGCGGTCCGCGCACAGCCTGCCGAGCCTCACTTGGCTCCTGCCCGCGCCTCGCGTCCCGGAGACCCTCGACGCCCCTGCGAACGCAGGGTGGACGCGGCGGGCTGGGTTGGTCCTCGCCCCGCGGTCCCGCCCCCGTCCCCGCCCGGAGCCCCCCGCGTTACCAGCACCCGGCGGAGCGCGCTGCGCTGGGAGCGGCCGGTGCGCTGGAGAGCGACGTTTCCAGCCGCCGCGACCCTCGGTCCCAGCGGGGCGCTGAGCTTCGGCCGCTCCGGGTTTCGGTTCCTGCCGCGGCCGAGGTGGCTGAGGCGAGTGTGGGCGACCCGGCTTTCCGGCGCCCCCGCCCTCCCCTCGTGCTCACCTTTCCAGTCCGACGGGCTGCCGGGGGAGGGCCGGCGCCGCTCCGCGCGTCCTTTTGAACTCAATGGGGGCGGGCACCGCGGAGTCGCGGAGGCCGGCAGAGGCCGAACGAGGACCCCGAGAGGAGGAAGCCGCGGGCGGCGCGCGGGGTTGGCGCAGAGGCCGGAGGGGGTGGGGGGCAGGCCGACGGGGTGGGACAGGAAAAGCGGAGAGAAACCGCCCTCTGCAGGTCCCCTCGGCTCCCCCGGGAGGAAAGGCAGCCTGCCCTTCTCCGATTGTCACTTTACTCTCCATCCGGAGCCGCTTCCTCTCTCGCCCCGAGGCTCGGGGTGGCGGGGGACCAGATTGGAGCCGCGGGCTAACTGGGATCAGTCCCATTTCCCTGGGCTTGACGTTCTCTGAATTTTTAGCTAACGTGGAAAGTTACATTTATTTGCATTTGTTTATCACTTGCTCACATAGGTCTGTGTCCCGAAGCTTGGCAGATGAGCGAACTTAGCCAGCACACCCCCGGCCGTGAAGCGGAAAGGTGAAGCGGGGAGAGCAACGAGCCTCTCCACCCCGCCCGCCCCCGGGTCTTGCCAGCTGGACGTTCTTGTGGGGCAGCATTGAGCAGAGGTTAGGAGTGTCGTGGACTTTGGATTCAAACAGCCCCAGCTCCTCTGCTTGCTAGCTGGGTGACTTTGGGCAAATTAACATCTCGAAAATCTGTTTCCTCATTCCTAAAATGCGGGGCTGAAAGTGATCATGCCTGTAAAGCCATCTCATATCCATGGTTCTAGAGCATGGTGAGCACCTCAATTTGAATAATCAGTGCCATGCTCTAGTTACTTCTTGACTCACTCGTTTGTGGCAGGAAATGTTCCCAAATTAATAGAAGAATTCAGTGACTAAGAGGATGTAATAGTATATAACACAGGCACTGGAATCAGCTCTGCTGTGTGATCTTGGACAAGTTGCTTCTGTTTCATTTATCTGGGGCAATACCTGTCTGATAGAGTGACTGTCCGGACGAAATAAGTTAGTAAATATGTACTGTAAGGCATTAGAACCTTGCCTGGCACATAGTAAGTGCTCAGTAAACGCTAGCTCTTGTTATCTTGGCTTCCTGTTTAGGATTGAAACCCTTGTGATTATTCTTTCCCTCCCAGTGACAGACTTCTGTGCTTACTTCACACTTCTGTGCTTTCTGTAGGTTTGTGAACCAGTATTTATACAGAAATACTTTCTATAGAAAGACAGGCATCATCAGATTGTGCATGTTAATCCGGGGAACAGACTGAAAGAGAAGGTCTCAGAGGAGAGAGGCATAAAGGGAGAAAACAAAACAAAGTCATAAGCAAAGCAAGAGTAGTTGCTTTTATTCCTAAAGTGTTTGTTATAAAAGAAACCAGAGGGCAGGGCAGTGTGGCTCACGCCTGTAATCCCAGCACTTTGGGAGGCCGAGGCTGGTGAATCACTTGAGGTCAGTAGTTTGAGACCAGCCTGGCCAACAAGGTGAAACCCTGTCTCTACTAAAAATACAAAATCTGCCGGGTGTGGTGGTGTACGCCTGTAATCCCAGCTACTCCAGAGGCTGAGGCAGCAGAATCGCTTGATCCTGGGAGGCAGAGGTTGCAGTGAGCCGAGATTACACCATTGCATTCCAGCCTGGGCAACAACAGCATAACTCCATCTCAAAAAATAAATAAATAAATAAATAAATAAGTGAAGAAATTCATTTTATGTAAATATATTGAGAAACATATGTAAGTATATGCATGGGAAAATGCCATTCCAACCAAGAAAGGCAAAGAAAGTGACATGCTAGCTATGCATAAGTAACTTAATAAAAGAAAGGTGAGCCTGGCTTGTTCTCAGATAAGAGAATATCCAAGAGAAAAGGAAATTAAAATCCTAGAGGGCTAAATCCAAAAGAGGACAATTGCTGGCATTGACATACTTTAGCTGACCACCTTGATCATGAATTCCAGAAGTTGATACCGTTCTTGTACCTGGGTCTGTCTCTTTCACATTTTCTATTATGTGTTGAAGATTGTTTAGAACTACAGATTCAGCTGAGCGTGGTGGCTCACACTTGTAATCCCAGCACTTGGGGAGGCCAAGACGGGTGGATCACAAGGTCGGGAGTTTGAGACCAGCCTGGCCAACATGGTGCAATCCTCTCTCTACTAAAAATATAAAAATACAAAAATTAGCTGAACGTGGTGGCAGGCACCTGGAATCCCAGCTACTCAGGGGGCTGAGGCAGGAGAATCGCTTGAACCCAGGAGATGGAGGTTGCGGTGAGCCGACATTGTGCCACTGCACTCCAGCCTGGGCGACAGAGCTACACTCTGTCTCAAAAAAAAAAAACAGACAGACTCAGAGGCTGTCTGGCTCAACTGACTGACTCTACTGATTTGCTGTAACTTCAACAATTTCAACAGTTGTTAGTAATGTTCTCTCAATAAGCATCTTTTTTTTTTCTCTTTAAAATGTGACTGGCGGGGCACAGCGGCTCACATCTGTAATCTCAGCACTTTGGGAAGCCAAGGCAGGCGGATCACCTGAGGTCAGGAGTTTGAGATCAGCCTGGCCAACATGGTGAAATCCCGTCTCTACTAAAAATATAAAAATTAGCGAGTGTGATGATGGGTGCCTGTAATCCCAGCTACTTGGGAGTCTGAGGCAGGAGAATCCCTTGAACCCAGGAGGTGGAGGTTGCAGGGAGCCAAGATCACACCAACCCACTCTAGCCTTGGCAACAGAGTGAGACTCTGATTCAAAAAAAAAGCATTAAATCTCTATATCTTGTACAGTCTATATGGGTTGTTTTACCCGAAAGGGGAAGGAGGAATGCTTTAAAAAAAAAAAAAGTAACCTTACACCTATAATCCCAGCACTTTGGGAGGCCAAGGTGGGCAGATCACTTGAGCCTAGGAGTTTGAGACCAGCCTGGGCAATATGTTGAAACCCTGTCTCTACAAATACAAAAAAGTTAGGAGTTGTGGCATGCGCCTGCGGTCCCAGCTAGTCGGGAGGCTGAGGTGAGAGGATCACTTGAGCCCGGGGGGTAAAGGCTGCACTTCAGCCTGGGAGATACAGCAAGACCCTTTCCCCCCAACCAAAAAAAAGTAACCTTAGGGAGGGAGGTGGAGATGATTAATGGGTACAAAAAAAAAAAAAAAAAAAGAAAGAATGAATAAGACCTTAAGACCTACTATTTGGTAGCACAACAGGGTGACTATAAATAATAACTTAATTGTACATTTAAAAATAACTAAAATAGTATAATTGGATTGTTTTTAACACAAATGCTTAAGGGGATGTATACTGCATTCTCCATGATATGATTTTATTATGCATTTGCATGCTTGTATCAAAACATATCATGAGGCTGGGCGGGTGGCTCACACCTGTAATCCCAGCACTTTGGGAGGCTGAGGAGTCCCTCACTCTGTTTGCTTAGGCTGGAGTGCAGCGGTGTGATCTCTGCTCACTAAACTCTGCCTCCCAGGTTCAAGCGATTCTTCTTGCCTCAGCCTCCTGAGTAGCTGGATTACAGGCATGGTGCCACTACGCCGGACTAATTTTGGTATTTTTATTAGAGACGGGTTTACCATGTTGGCCAGGATGGTCTCGATCACTTGACCTTGTGATCCGCCCCTCGGCCTCCACAGTTCTGGGATTACAGGCGTGAGCCACTGCGCCTGGCCTATTTTTATTTTTTTAATGTTTAATTTGTGTGGGTTCATAGGATATATATATATTTATGGGTGCATGAGATTTTTTTTTTTTTTTTTGAGACGCGTCTTCCCAAGACTGGAGTGCGATGGCACTATCTCGGCTCACTGCAAGCTCCGCCTCCCGGGTTTCAACACCATTCTCCTGCCTCAGTCTGCCAAGTAGCTGGGACCTCACAGGCGCCGCCACGACGCCGTCTAATTTTTTGTATTTTTTAGTAAGAGACGGGGTTTTCACCGCGTTTAAGCGCGGATGGTCTTGATCTCCTGACCTCGTGATCCACCCAT